CCATGCGACTCCGACTCAACCTACTTTGACTGCTACGTCCTTCGTACGGAGTCAAAGAAAGAAGCTACTTCTGAAACGCTCCCGAAATTCACACGCCGATGTCCGAGTTGTTGGTGTTCTCAATCACGTCGAAGGCAGCCTCAGGGGCCGCCAGGTCAGCATCCCCCCCGTTGAACCGTGGCGGCAGACATGTCCTGATATCCTTGGCGGCAATCATGGGAATGTCCTTGAACGCGGGGATACGCTTGTAGTTGACGTGGAGGAACATCACCATCTCTACCCAGTAGGTGTCGATGCGGCTCCTGTTGCGCGTGAGGAGATTAGCGCAACTACTGAAGTCGCGCTCTACCTGCGCGGCACCCGCCTGGTTTCCAAGCACCTGCTGCGCTACTGGCGCCAGGCACGGAAACATCTTGCGACCAGTGTTTCGCCACCAAGGCAGTACTTCCCGCGTGTCCAACTGCACAGCAGCAGTACAGATCCAAGGGTGGCAGGGACGAAGATAAGAAAACGACACGAAACACATCTGTGCAACTTTGCGCCACCGGGAAAAAAAGTCAAACTGAAACTTCTTGCAGTTCGCATCCCTACTTTGACCTGTGACCGCGGTGAACTCAGATCCTTCCGGCCCTCCCTCCCGCTTGAAGCTCAAAATTACAATTATTTAAAACACTTTCATATAAACTGCAAGGAAGCTCACCTCTTCTGCCGTCCGGTACAGCGCCTGAACGCTTGGACATCAATGAATTTCATCCCAGAATTCTTGCACGTCCACAGGTCGACCCCGTAGTGAACGATGGGCAGAGGTGCCTTCTTGATCTCTTCCGACATGTTCCCCATCACAGCCTGCAGGCCGAGGAGAACCGAACGACGCAAGGCAACAAATGATGTCGGTTAGTCTCTCAAAAGACCTGAACGAGCGTTCGGGAAAACAAAGACCAATACAAACTATTTGCTGTCCTTTTCGGCAAGAGTGGTGTTTTTATGTTTTTGTATTGATGTGTGTATATAACCGTGTCCTAAAACCCGGAAAAATCCATATCACTTGCGTTTTTAGGATTTATATAACAATAGAAAAAAAGTGCGTAAAAACGTGTGTTTCTAATGTTTTTTTTTGCGGGTGAACACTCACGTTGCAATCTCGAGTAGAAAACCACATGATGAAGGATAATGTCTGTTGCATGTACCTTGTATTACATTCCTCTCTTGTTTGACGAATTATACGCCAAAAAACATTGCTGACCTTCTTGGTGGCGACGAACATCTCCACCAGGAGGTGCTTGATGCGCCTGCTAGGAAGCGCCGGATACGGTGTGTCATCGGCGGTCTCCAAGCCCATCACATCCTTTCACGAGTTCGCAGATAAGAAGGAGAAGGGGAGGAACTTGTCGACGACCATTTTCGCGCACAAGAGCTCGCGAACTCTTAAAAACAAGGACCAAAAAAAGAGAAAAAATCGCAGCAGCATCACGCAACAAACGCAGGAGGTAAGGGATGCGAGAAGGGCGTGAGTAACCATAAAGGCAAAAAAGACGCGCAGGCAACAGCAGTACATGTATATAGCACCCAGCAGGTGCTCAACCCCCTCATGCACACAACACACTCACACACAAACACACGAAGACTAGTTTCACCTGTGAAGAAAAAAAAAAAACACCCAACTGTTCTTTCCGAGGCTCGAGTTGGCGCTCGCGACCAACGCCGACCTGATGGTTCCTTGCCCCTCCTTCCTGGTGGCGTCCTTCTTCGCTCCTTCGGTCCCCTGCATGCCGTGCTTTCTCTTGAGGTGCGTGTTGACGTTGCTGCGGTCTCCCCGTGGACACGGAATTTCCTTCCTACCCCTCCGACACTCTGCGCTAGCCAGGCAGTAGTATTTGGCGCCTGCGCTCTGCTCCACGTACACTCCGAGCGAGTACATGAACGAGTCGACGCGGGAGCCCTTTCTCACGAAATCGTTCGGCACGGTGAAAGCATCCACCGCGGCAGCGATATCGTCAGCCACCTCCGCTACCACTCCGCCCTTGCCGTAGACTGGTTTCGGGCTGAGTACGGGCACGCCTCCAGCGCTGGTGTCGGCAACGTCTACCACGTTCGAGCCATGCTGCTCATTGCTCTCGGGTGTGCCTTCGTTTGTCTCAACCCCGCCACCTTCACCCGCCCCGGCATTCGTGTTTGTGTTTGTGTCTTGCGGCGTGGAGGAGTTGTCGAGGTCCGCAACAACAGCGCTCATGTTCCCTCTCGAGGTTTCGCACAAACAATCTTCTGTGGGTCTGGTGTGTGTTGTGTATTGTGTATGTGGCTGCTGTCTGGGTCTGTCTGTGTACAACTTCCCTCTTCGCGGACCTGACGTCACACGGGGGCATTTTACAAGACCTCACAGAACTATTCTGTATTGTGCGAGGGTGCTACAGAACCTCACAGAACTATTCTGTATTGTGACTGACCGTCACAGAACTATTCTGTATTGTGCGAGGGTGCTACAGAACCTCACAGAACTATTCTGTATTGTGCGAGAGTGCCACAGAACCTCACAGAACTATTCTGTATTGTACGAGAGTGCTACAGAACCTCACAGAACTATTCTGTATTGTGCGAGGGTGCTACAGAACAGGACATCTGCCCGTGCTTCCGAAGATACTCCTACCGTAGGCGACCCAAACGCATTTTGTTTTTCCGATTGACTTCCTGCGTTCATGTTGGGTGCTGCCGGTCACAGCGCCACATCCATCCGGTTACTCCCTACAGAACAGCACCAACCCCACACATTGTAGTAATTGATCCGTTATATCTGCGGTAGAACGTCGTTCTGTACATTACGTACCGGTCGCCCCGGTGGTCTAGTGGAATCCTCGTACTCCGCTGGTAGCAGAGGTCGTGAGTTCGAATCCCCATGGGATGAAAAATTTACGAAATTTGCGGGTGAAAGCGAAACATAGTTACTAGAGTTGGAGGTGGAATAGTTTTTGTGGTGGTTGCACAAAAAGTACCTGCAGTAGGCTCGTGCGTCTGTTACAGAAGAACGGGGGGCGGTCCATCATCACCAGCTAGAGAGGGAGGTGGTTGTTGTTGTTGTTGTTGTCATCACATTAAAAACCATTTGTGGTGTCCATCATCATTCGCTAGAGGGGAGGGTGGTTTCCATCATCAGCTAGCGAGGGGGGTGGTATCCATCGTCAGCCGTGACGGGGGGTGCTATCCATCATCACCAGCTAGAGAGGGGGGTGGTATCCATCATCATTC